GGTGCGTACTTCATAACTGCACTGTCGATTCGATACGTTTATGATAAAACTGAATAGATGAAATAGAAAACTCTGAGAACCTTAGAGAAAAACCTTTCTGAAATTATTGATGGAAAAAATACAGTTATATTTAATTTCCGACAATTGTTAGAAAATGTTTATTTTGCGTATGAGTCTAGACATGACCAGGCTGCGGATAGAAAATAAACATAAATTGTTTCTTTCAATAATTTCGATAACTTGACCAATTTTAACTTTTCCGAATCGAAAATCTTTTTGATTGTTATTAAAACAAAACCTTCTAATTTGACTGCGAAAGGTGTTATTATTAGCCTTTTCACAACAAATCTCAAAGAAATTTAAAAAACAACGCAGATTACGCTAGAATAAACCAACAAATTTTTAAATGTTACTGTCACATGCATAACTGAACCGTGTAAATTTGACTGCAAAAGGTTTTATAATTTCTCCACAAAAAAAGCTGAGAGAAAATTAAAAAAAAAACGCATAATTTACACTGAAATTCCAATTTAATTGTCAGAAGCAATACCAATACTCTGGATTGAGGTGGGCGCAAACCTCGGCTTCATGTATTTCATTTTATTTCATTTATAAATGTAGTTCAAAATGTAAAATCAATTTCGTCGAAGGTTTCAAGTGGACTGCACCCATAAGTTCGAAAAATGTAAACCGAATGTTAGAACGGAATGGGGGACGCGGGAGAAGTGGAAATATTTCGGATGAACGTGACACGGATGCTTGACGTTTCATGCAGTGACGAAATGCACGTTTCTCGCGCGGATATACGGTGTCTTTGACGGCTGTGTTCGACACACCGACGATATTATGTGCGATAAAATATCCCGTCCCATTTGTCGCCGGCGCAGAATTCGTGGAGCAGCGCTCCGTTGTTTTATTAACATGATCGATGCCATTTTTCATATCGTCTCGGGGAACGCCGGCGCCGGCAACGGATTGATACGAGCTCGCGCGCTATGTTTCCGATCCGAATTATAACAGGAACCGGGATATTCGCGGTGATATTGCTATCTACGCCGGAATCCGATAGATTTTCCCGAGCTCAATTTCCCTGATATCGACGTCGGGATTTAATAAAAAGTATTGAAAGCTATTCGACTCTTTAACATGTTTTCAATAGACACCGTGCTCGCGTCGCTGCGCTCTTTATATCCAGCGATAACGTGTCGCAGATAAGATCGATGATCGATAGATACAAAGAACGCGTTTCAAAGAGAAGCCATGGGGAAACTTCGTCGCGTAATTAAGCAACGTTGATTAACAGCTGAAACTACCAAAATAGTCAAAATGACTGATCTCTAATTTTAACTCGTAATATTATGAAAATATTTCTATGAAGATTTTTTAGGTAAACTGTTTTATTCAAACGTATATTGTCATAGAAATTGTACGAATTTTAAATAAATCCAATTTTGGCATTGTTATAAAACAATATACATTAGTCGCGTTTAGCGCTCATTAGTTCTAGTATTAGTCGGACACACGATGATACGATTCGTAAATGCGACCACTGTAAATTCATTATCCTTAACTGGAATAATTCCTTTTTCTTTCTTTAGTTTTTAATGTCGCATTAAGTTATTATTCGCATTAGTTCTTAATGTCTACATGGTCATTAGTGACCCTTTGTTTTGGGGTTATATTTCTGCACGTATTTTGGTGCTTTTTAAAACGTTTAGGATGCTTTACATTTGTTCTTCTGACGTTAAATTCAACGAGGTGTCTAGTTTATATTTTATTCTACTTCTTTGATATTTCCTGCATTAAAATAATAGATGGTTTGTTGTTAGTAATTAGTACTAACATTCTGTTAGCATCGTTAGTCTAGAAGGCCCGATATGAAAACGATAAACTTTTCCGATTTTATTTGGACGGTCCAGAAACGTATGAAAATTGCTTCTTTAAAATTGATTCGATGCTTGGAAATGTGTTTGACCATCAGCGCGTATAATATTCTGCGCTTGTAAAATGACGCGTTTCAAATTCCATTACAATTAATTGAAATTTCAGATTACTATTCTATTTTACGATTGTTTTCTGAAAATTCAGCTGGAGCATCAATTAATTTCGAGGTGATTGAAGTCCCGTATGAGGAAATTTACGAAAAAATATCAGATTAATTTTCCTCCTGTGTCTGTCTACCATTTTTTTTATTTTGATCAGCAACTCGTGCAATAATAAATTAAAATTCAGTACAAAATTATTAAAAATGGTCGATCCATTTTATTCAATGCACGATTAACAACTCAATCCTTGTATTTTGTAATGACATTAAACTCGATCACCAATCGAAAATTGTTTTTAATTAACATCGATCACCTCTCAAAGCGATTTGATTATTTTGATTCGATATTCAAGGAAATTAACATCAATATCAATTTTCAAAGATTACTAAAAAAAAATTCTAGAATTATATTGAAACATCTTACCCAAAATTACTCGAAGCAGCCATCTTCTTCACTTCAAGCTTCGAAAATTCCATCGTAACTATACTTGCAAATTTTATACATTTCTGCATACACGATTGCTCAAAGCTCCGTATCGGAGTTACGAAGTTTCGGAAATTCGCGAAAATTCCACGAGATTGTTAATTTATTTTGAAGTTGATACAAACTTTGCTCGAACAGACAAATATGTGCTTGCTTTCGCACTACGGAACTTTCGAAAAATCGTCGATGTTCAAGCTGCCATAATTTTGTGAAGAAAAGTCGCATAACAATGAACTTCGACTCGTTTCAAAGCTCAGAGCCTCTACTTTCGTTTTCTTGCATCCAGCTTGTCTTGAGATCATTTTAATAGCACAGTGGAGGGAAACTCGAAGGCTCTTTTCGTATAGAAAATACCACAAATTGAAGTGTCTCAAAAAACATTAAAAAATTGTTTATTTGGAAAAATCTACGACAGATTTAAAGATTGAAGCCATGTAAAAGCCTTAAATAAATTATTCAAAGTTAGAAAAATGAGAGATGTTCCTAATGAAAGCATGAACAATTTATGCGACGATTGAACAATTTTCTAGACATATTCATCGATCTTGTAACAAAACGTTTCCGACACAAGTTGATCAGTACATGCATTTCTACAATTTTCAACTGATAAAATGTGAAGAAAACAATTTTACTCTAAACATTTGAGATCGCCAGATTTCGGATTTTCGAAATGTTAATCTGTGTTTTCGACTTCACCTTTGATATCCATCCAAATGCGGTAAAACATCAAGAATTCGTTGAACCGTGAACCAAAGCCGATGCCAGCTGGCTTTTTTTGCGGGTCGATGTTGGCAGTGTGTCCGAATTAGCTTGGGACCATGATTATTCGATTTCGTTCGAGCAGTATATAGAACAGTAGCGCCGCTGTGACTCCCTTTCCTTGGATCCTGTCAGAAGCGTGCCAAACCCGAACAGACCATAAATTCCGCCAGGGCTGTTCCACGGACTTACCTGTCAGTAAAACAGGAAGAGTACCCTGTCGTCACGAATTCATCCTGACAAGGAAGGCCTTCGCCCGCACCTTCAGACGTCCGCTAAAAGGGTCTTCTGTTCTAGAGGGTCATTATCTTGAATTTGTTAGGAAATTATTTCCATTAAATCAGTTGATTTTATGGTTCTATGGTTTCGCACATGTATTTGTCAATGTTTCGAAAGTGCGAGGTAGATGATTGAATAGTGATTATTGTAGGAGCTACCTGTACTTATTCAACGTCCTTAAAAAAAATGTAGCTTCATGACTGCCATGATTCCGATCGTGCTGTTTATATAAAACAAATTAGTGATGAATCTTTTTAATAATTAATAATTAATAAGCTTACGTTGATCATTAAGACGTATTTAAGTAAATCTGTTTATCAAGTTCAAATTGTTTAGTAATAAATTACCCAGTATTAGTATCTCAGTCTTTATGCAAAAATTGCATGCATCTGTTGCGGAGAAAAGAGAACGGAGACAGTACTGTGCCGGTGTAAAATAGTAAACAGATCATGGTAGTAGTTTCTGTGAAAATCGTGGCACAAGATCGAGGAAGAAAGTTCCTAGAAAAAGAGCGTATTTTGCTACCGTGCCAGGCCATCAACGTCGCCCAGGCCTTTAAAGCTCTATAACTTTTACAGTTCCCTTTGGGACCGCACTTCCACAGAATAGGGATTGAAAAACTGTAAAAAAAGAATCGATCTTTTTTCGATCGTTTAAGCCGGAGGACTTGCTTTGCGCGCGTATCGCTCGCGCGAGTGTAAAACCGGGCGACTTGTCGCGACAAGACGTGGCAACTTCTTTGATCTTTTGAAATTTAATTTTTTTCCCTTTTTCTCCGCCCACCATCTTCTCGGAAATAATGATCGAAGAAAGGTTGGTCTTTGACAACAGATGATGGCAGCTCTTTAGCGACGCCTCGGTAGTCAAAGATGTCACGCAGCTGTCACAAAATTCTTGCACGAAGAGAAATAGGAGAACAAGCCTCTCGTTGCGAGACGCACCGATTCGTCTCTAATTAACATGGAGAAGTTGTGAATTCTTTATGAAACGTTAATTTCATTTCTACAATTTATAAATCGCAGTTTGTCGTGAATAATATTCGTGTATCCGATTACACGGCGTTTCTTTCAAGCCATATTCCGTTAACGTTTAATATTTCGTAAAACTGTCGCGACATTTATTTAAAAATTCTGTAAATAATGAATGGTGGCGCAATTACGCGATTACAAGGTTCAGTTTAAGTACTTAAAGACCTTTCCTCAGCCTTAGTGTCGAGTAAGAAGCTTTGCGGACTCTTGTAAAACGACAAGTATCTTGAAGAGCTGCTATTTCTTCAAAAGGAAGATGAACACTCAATGATGCTTCTCACTAAATACAAGTCTGGTTTATTTATTTCTGTACAACCGTAAATTATTTATATATTTTTCGCTGCTTTGTCGGATAGATTTCCGAGGGAGAAATAATTTTAGCGTCTTTTTCTGTTTCGATTTTCAGCCCGATCTATTGCAAGGGTCCTTTGCTACAAACGGTGCAGCTCGCCGGGATCTTTCCTGATAGCAAAACCTTCGTCGATCTTCGTCAGATACACGATCCTGAAGAAACCCTCGCCAAGTAAGTACCAATCCATCATCTCTCGGACCGTATACAACCAGATATTTTGCCTTCCCTTGAATTTCATAACAATCCATGAAACAATCTTCATAACAATCTTCTTTTCCTGAACTGCGGAGACGAACAAACTTATTTATTCGATTTGCAGAACAGTTGAATTGATGAAACAAAAAATGAGCTACGATCTATCAACAAAACAAAAACATTTTTTCTTACGAAGAACATAATTCCAGATATTTTCAATATTTTTCTTTCTTAGACTTACGGCGAAACTGCAAAGAATGCGACATAAAAGCCATTATTCTGTTAATTCTAATAAGCTGGAAAGAAAATCATGGCGTTGTTATATTCTCCTGAAATTCTTGTTGTATTATATTTTATACACTCGTGTTTTTCAGAAACGCGTACAATCTGCAGTTACACGTTCATGTTCTTCAGAAATGTATAAAATCTGCAGTTACATACTTACGTTTTTCAGAAATGCATAAAATCCGCAGTTATACGCTCATGTTTTTCAGAGATGCATAAAATCTGCAGTTGCATACTCGCGTTTCTCATAAACGCACAAAGTATGCAATTACACACTCATATTTCTCATAAATTCATGAAACATGCAGTTACACACTCATGCTTTTCATAAATGCACAAAATCTGCAATTACTCGTGTTCGTTAAAAATGCATAAAACCTGCACTTACACAGCGCGGTTTCTACAAATTCATACGATCTGTAATCGATTTCCAATCAATTTAAATTTCACGAATTTCTCCCGAGTCGACTTTTTTTACTAACCTCCTTTCATTTCCATAATATCTAATTTCGCAAATATTGTTTGATTAGGTTAGCATTGTTCCAAGAGCTCGAATTTATGGAAAACAATGGTTAATATTGCGTCTGGTTTCTGTGAATTAATTGAACCATAAAATGCACTGCAGTAGAAGCATAAACGTTGCAACATTTCACTTAGGGATACGTTTCGTGTCGCAGGGAGCAGCTGCGATACAACGGTAGCGAAAATATCAAATATTAAGTTCTACGAAAACGTCTCGCTAACTTTCAGTTTTTGAATGTATTCTTCCAGCTACCAGTGCTCTCATTGCCAAGATTTCCCAGAGCGGGTAATGTCCTTCGCAGAGAACTTTCCCCAGAGTTCTGCTAACATTGCAGCTTGTCGAACGGCGCACACTGAAATTGTTCCCCAAACAGAATCTCGCGAATTAATATAACCATACGATGATGTAATCTCTGTTGTATCACATTTAAAGTTTTAATTCTTGCGTTCCATCGCCTATTCGCTCGTTAATGAGGCTTGCTGTAACTTTGATGTCACATACCAATTTAGTTTGTTTTTATTCCAATTTCATTTTTGACCCATCGTTTCAAGAATATCTTGTTCTGATGATTCTTCTTCATGGTCAAGGAAATTATGCATCACGATTTTCAACTTTCGTTTCATTCGACTCACATCTCAATTTCGCGCATCGGATGGATGACGAAACTTGATCTATTATATCTTCCGTAGAAATTGAGTTACTATAACAAATTTCCCGTTGCGTGATAACAATTGTTACGTTCCATTCTTTTCTTTAATTTATTAGTACTTGGTTTGGTCAAGTGAAATTTAACGAAACAGGTATTATTAACGAAATTCGATAACATTTGCTTCATTCGATTTCATGAAATTTAATAACATCTATTTCGTTATATTTTTTTCTTCTAAAAATGTTATCTGCATACACTTGCAACGTAACGGAAATTAAATGAAACCTGAGAATTTCACGAATCTTAATCGTGAATGAATGAATTAATTTCAATTTCCACAATTTCATGGCTGCAATAAAGAACGATAATCAGCCGCGGCGTCTAAACAATTAAAATCCACTGCACCGAGATCGATGCTTGCAAGCTATTTTCTATGATCAGCCGAAAGCCTGGACAATGAAAATCGCACTATGCCTTAAACCCTTGGCTATGAAAGCCTTAAATTCCCTTCCTCGTTCTTGTTTACTGGGAACCAGGTCGACGTTGCAGGAGAAGCAACGACCGGTTTGATATTATTCCCATCGTTTCGTTTTCACGCAACACCGGAACCGGGGCTCCCCGCTAAAAACAGCTGGGGTTTACGATCACGGCGAAACGAAATCACGGCTGCCAGTTTTTAAACTGACCTACGCGATCGCCGGGAACCACAGCGCGTTAAATCACCCTGCCTGTCAGGACATTTACGGTTCTCGTTTTACGGCAACGTGTTACGTTCACTTTCGTCCACCTTCGCCGCGGCGAATCAGCGTTTCAAGCGTTTGCACCAAATCGGGAGTCTTCGAATCGCTCGGATCTGAGAAACTCGGCCGTATGCATAGTTAAACCGGTTCTCGTGGATTTCTACGGATGAAATGAACGAGATATCGTTGAAATTTTTATAGGAAATGAATTGAACGCGAACGGTGAAATATGGCGAGATTGAACATGAATGTCTTCGGTATTCGTGATCATAGCAACTTGACATTCGAAGCATTTTTTAGTTCGCACGGAGCGTTCGATATACGCACACTGATTATTTTCTCGGCAATTTACACTCCGCGTTTCCAAAACCCGTGAAATTTCAGAAATTTGTCCAATGAAATATAAATTAGGCAGATAAGATGCATACCCTTTCGATATTTTTGCAGTTTTTGACCTGTGTGGATGATTTCATTCTGCCATGAAAAAACACCACAAATGGTCCAACACATGTACTTTCGAAGACTCTATTACTTTAACAAAAATTTCCATTAATATCTCCAAAAAATATTCCTAAAGATGACAGTTTTTCATATCCTGTAGTAATTCCAGGATTCACGATTAAGATAGTGTATAATTGCATTGTTTTTGGTCGTAATTTTCTTCATATGTATCGAATAACATATATTAAACATTTTTATTCTCTTAGTTTGTAAATAAAAAAATTTAATTTTCTTTGATACATTTAATTGTCCCGAAGTTTTTACTTAATGCCAACAATGATTGCAAATTGCTGTCAGGCAGAAATTCGTAAAATCAGTCCATGGACAGAAGTTAAACCGGAACAAGACGTAGTGTTGTCACGCGCGTCCCGCGACCCGCAAGACCCAGCGATCGTTTCGGGATGATTGCGTTGTTTCGCGGCTACCAATTTGCTTCGGCGCTTATGTACGACTCGTAATGGCCGCTGGTATAAAGTAAGCATCGCTTTGTTCGCTGCCGCACGGTGCCCGTTCGGATCATAGAACTGCCGGTGCAGATCGTTTCATGCGAAATGTCGGAATTCGGCCGTGGTTTACGAGCATTGTGGGACGATCGAGGAAATTCGAGGGGGCGGAGAGACTCGCTCTAGCAGGGGACCAATCGCCGGAATCGACTACGATCATTGCTGGTGACTCTTGTGTCCAATTGTTTAGTGAGCCTTCGCGTACATCTGCATTCGGGACGGTCCGTCCGGAGGAATTACAGCGGTGAAAAGCAGCATTTCGGACACCTTTCGAAACGCAATCACTTCTCTCAGATTGGAGCAAATGTCACGATTATCCATTAAATGTTAAAGTGATTAGTTCACTGTACAATGACCGTGATATTGATTTTACTTTTTGCTCTTACGTTTTTTGTTTGAAACATTTTTAATTCCGAACGTTCAGGAAGACACTAATTTAAAAACAACGCATGATTTTTCAAAAATTTTGTTAAGTAACAATATAGCTGGAGACGCAGTACCGAAATGAATATTTTCAACATTTTTTTAAATATTTTTAAAATGTTTTTAAAATTCGGCGAGTAAAACGAAAATATTCTACAGAAAAGACGGACTTTTAATTGACCATTTGAACAAGTTTATAGATCATTTTACACAATGTACAGCTTAGGCCAACGTTTTCATCGTTGAAACAACATTCACATTCTGTATTACCGCAGAAATAATTCTTGAATCATTTTTACAATGACAAAAGACTCTTAAAAACCATGAACTTCGCTATGCTTCAACCATAAGCACTGAAAACAATAGAACACCCGGTCACACAATTACACGGACGTCCAAAACGAGCGAACCCGATCGAACATCATTTTCTTTTATTTTTCCTCCGCAGTGACACGCGATCTTGTGCTCGGTAAACGTCGATGCAAGGTTGTTTGCAATTAATTAATTGACAAGATGAATTCTATTTGCATTCTGTCAGCTCGAGCTGCATCGCGAAGCGGTGCAACGCAAACGTTTCGCAGTTTGCCGTGTCATGATTGATTAACTGACCAATCGGTCCTGTTTGTGCTTGGACAGCTTCAACAACCTGATGAATGCAACAAACAACATGCCGTCTCGGAGCCAGGTAGAACAATACGTGAAGGAGAACTTCGCCGATACGAGCGAGCTTCTCAATTCGACGTTGCCCGACTGGAAGGAGAGCCCGTCGATTCTGAAGCGTGTACAGGACCCGAAGTATCGGCAATGGTTGTCGAGTCTGAACGGCATTTGGAAGAATTTGGCGAAGAAGATGGCCGACGACGTGGCCGCGAACCCGCAGAAGCACAGCTTGATCTACGTCAATAACACTTTCGTAGTTCCCGGAGGAAGGTTCAAAGGTGACGTGCTTGATATCTTGATTAATACAGGCGTTCCATCGTGAGCTGATCAGCGAGAGTCTGCGCACTTTTCGACTCTGTGCCATAATGTTATCTAATTGCATAAACAGTTGACAAATCTTTCAGCAAACGATTGCCCTCGTGAATTATGATATTGAAGCTTGAACACAATTCAGTTCATCTTAATTGCAAATATGTGACAATATTGTTCCAATACATATTACTTTGACAATCCTTTGAAATAAACATAAACATGAGCATAAACAGTTGACAAATCTTTCAGCAAACGATTGCCCTCGTGAATTATGATATTGAAGCTTGAACACAATTCAGTTCATCTTAATTGCAAATATGTGACAATATTGTTCCAATACATATTACTTTGACAATCCTTTGAAATAAACATAAACATGAGCATAAACAGTTGACAAATCTTTCAGCAAACGATTGCCCTCGTGAATTATGATATTGAAGCTTGAACACAATTCAGTTCATCTTAATTGCAAATATGTGACAATATTGTTCCAATACATATTACTTTGACAATCCTTTGAAAAAACATAAACATAAGCATAAACAGTTGACAAATTTTTCAGTAAACGATTGTCGTCGTGAATTATGATATTGAAGCTTGAACACAATTCAGTTCATCTTAATTGCAAATATGTGACAATGTTGTTCCAATACATATTACTTTGACAATCCTTTGAAATAAACATAAACATAAGCATAAACAGTTGACAAATCTTTCAGTAAACGATTGCCCTCGTGAATTATGATATTGAAGCTTGAACACAATTCAGTTCATCTTAATTGCAAATATGTGACAATATTGTTCCAATACATATTACTTTGACAATCCATTAAAATATTCGATATATTTCGCTGTTCAAAGATAATTACATACTTAATTTAATCCCTTTTTAATTTCTAGCGTAATGAAATAAACGTAGTTCAGCTTATCTTAATTACACAGGCGTTTCCCTACTTGCTCACGTTCTGGGCCGAGTATTTAGAGAGACAACAGAATTGTGTTNTTTTTTCTTCTAAAAATGTTATCTGCATACACTTGCAACGTAACGGAAATTAAATGAAACCTGAGAATTTCACGAATCTTAATCGTGAATGAATGAATTAATTTCAATTTCCACAATTTCATGGCTGCAATAAAGAACGATAATCAGCCGCGGCGTCTAAACAATTAAAATCCACTGCACCGAGATCGATGCTTGCAAGCTATTTTCTATGATCAGCCGAAAGCCTGGACAATGAAAATCGCACTATGCCTTAAACCCTTGGCTATGAAAGCCTTAAATTCCCTTCCTCGTTCTTGTTTACTGGGAACCAGGTCGACGTTGCAGGAGAAGCAACGACCGGTTTGATATTATTCCCATCGTTTCGTTTTCACGCAACACCGGAACCGGGGCTCCCCGCTAAAAACAGCTGGGGTTTACGATCACGGCGAAACGAAATCACGGCTGCCAGTTTTTAAACTGACCTACGCGATCGCCGGGAACCACAGCGCGTTAAATCACCCTGCCTGTCAGGACATTTACGGTTCTCGTTTTACGGCAACGTGTTACGTTCACTTTCGTCCACCTTCGCCGCGGCGAATCAGCGTTTCAAGCGTTTGCACCAAATCGGGAGTCTTCGAATCGCTCGGATCTGAGAAACTCGGCCGTATGCATAGTTAAACCGGTTCTCGTGGATTTCTACGGATGAAATGAACGAGATATCGTTGAAATTTTTATAGGAAATGAATTGAACGCGAACGGTGAAATATGGCGAGATTGAACATGAATGTCTTCGGTATTCGTGATCATAGCAACTTGACATTCGAAGCATTTTTTAGTTCGCACGGAGCGTTCGATATACGCACACTGATTATTTTCTCGGCAATTTACACTCCGCGTTTCCAAAACCCGTGAAATTTCAGAAATTTGTCCAATGAAATATAAATTAGGCAGATAAGATGCATACCCTTTCGATATTTTTGCAGTTTTTGACCTGTGTGGATGATTTCATTCTGCCATGAAAAAACACCACAAATGGTCCAACACATGTACTTTCGAAGACTCTATTACTTTAACAAAAATTTCCATTAATATCTCCAAAAAATATTCCTAAAGATGACAGTTTTTCATATCCTGTAGTAATTCCAGGATTCACGATTAAGATAGTGTATAATTGCATTGTTTTTGGTCGTAATTTTCTTCATATGTATCGAATAACATATATTAAACATTTTTATTCTCTTAGTTTGTAAATAAAAAAATTTAATTTTCTTTGATACATTTAATTGTCCCGAAGTTTTTACTTAATGCCAACAATGATTGCAAATTGCTGTCAGGCAGAAATTCGTAAAATCAGTCCATGGACAGAAGTTAAACCGGAACAAGACGTAGTGTTGTCACGCGCGTCCCGCGACCCGCAAGACCCAGCGATCGTTTCGGGATGATTGCGTTGTTTCGCGGCTACCAATTTGCTTCGGCGCTTATGTACGACTCGTAATGGCCGCTGGTATAAAGTAAGCATCGCTTTGTTCGCTGCCGCACGGTGCCCGTTCGGATCATAGAACTGCCGGTGCAGATCGTTTCATGCGAAATGTCGGAATTCGGCCGTGGTTTACGAGCATTGTGGGACGATCGAGGAAATTCGAGGGGGCGGAGAGACTCGCTCTAGCAGGGGACCAATCGCCGGAATCGACTACGATCATTGCTGGTGACTCTTGTGTCCAATTGTTTAGTGAGCCTTCGCGTACATCTGCATTCGGGACGGTCCGTCCGGAGGAATTACAGCGGTGAAAAGCAGCATTTCGGACACCTTTCGAAACGCAATCACTTCTCTCAGATTGGAGCAAATGTCACGATTATCCATTAAATGTTAAAGTGATTAGTTCACTGTACAATGACCGTGATATTGATTTTACTTTTTGCTCTTACGTTTTTTGTTTGAAACATTTTTAATTCCGAACGTTCAGGAAGACACTAATTTAAAAACAACGCATGATTTTTCAAAAATTTTGTTAAGTAACAATATAGCTGGAGACGCAGTACCGAAATGAATATTTTCAACATTTTTTTAAATATTTTTAAAATGTTTTTAAAATTCGGCGAGTAAAACGAAAATATTCTACAGAAAAGACGGACTTTTAATTGACCATTTGAACAAGTTTATAGATCATTTTACACAATGTACAGCTTAGGCCAACGTTTTCATCGTTGAAACAACATTCACATTCTGTATTACCGCAGAAATAATTCTTGAATCATTTTTACAATGACAAAAGACTCTTAAAAACCATGAACTTCGCTATGCTTCAACCATAAGCACTGAAAACAATAGAACACCCGGTCACACAATTACACGGACGTCCAAAACGAGCGAACCCGATCGAACATCATTTTCTTTTATTTTTCCTCCGCAGTGACACGCGATCTTGTGCTCGGTAAACGTCGATGCAAGGTTGTTTGCAATTAATTAATTGACAAGATGAATTCTATTTGCATTCTGTCAGCTCGAGCTGCATCGCGAAGCGGTGCAACGCAAACGTTTCGCAGTTTGCCGTGTCATGATTGATTAACTGACCAATCGGTCCTGTTTGTGCTTGGACAGCTTCAACAACCTGATGAATGCAACAAACAACATGCCGTCTCGGAGCCAGGTAGAACAATACGTGAAGGAGAACTTCGCCGATACGAGCGAGCTTCTCAATTCGACGTTGCCCGACTGGAAGGAGAGCCCGTCGATTCTGAAGCGTGTACAGGACCCGAAGTATCGGCAATGGTTGTCGAGTCTGAACGGCATTTGGAAGAATTTGGCGAAGAAGATGGCCGACGACGTGGCCGCGAACCCGCAGAAGCACAGCTTGATCTACGTCAATAACACTTTCGTAGTTCCCGGAGGAAGGTTCAAAGGTGACGTGCTTGATATCTTGATTAATACAGGCGTTCCATCGTGAGCTGATCAGCGAGAGTCTGCGCACTTTTCGACTCTGTGCCATAATGTTATCTAATTGCATAAACAGTTGACAAATCTTTCAGTAAACGATTGCCCTCGTGAATTATGATATTGAAGCTTGAACACAATTCAGTTCATCTTAATTGCAAATATGTGACAATGTTGTTCCAATACATATTACTTTGACAATCCTTTGAAATAAACATAAACATAAGCATAAACAGTTGACAAATCTTTCAGTAAACGATTGCCCTCGTGAATTATGATATTGAAGCTTGAACACAATTCAGTTCATCTTAATTGCAAATATGTGACAATGTTGTTCCAATACATATTACTTTGACAATCCTTTGAAATAAACATAAACATGAGCATAAACAGTTGACAAATCTTTCAGTAAACGATTGCCCTCGTGAATTATGATATTGAAGCTTGAACACAATTCAGTTCATCTTAATTGCAAATATGTGACAATATTGTTCCAATACATATTACTTTGACAATCCATTAAAATATTCGATATATTTCGCTGTTCAAAGATAATTACATACTTAATTTAATCCCTTTTTAATTTCTAGCGTAATGAAATAAACGTAGTTCAGCTTATCTTAATTACACAGGCGTTTCCCTACTTGCTCACGTTCTGGGCCGAGTATTTAGAGAGACAACAGAATTGTGTTAATGCAAGTCCTTTATGAAGTCGTTCGAACAGTATTTAGGAAAAGTGGTCAATTGTGGAGCAGCATTTTGTTTTTCGAATGTTATTAAAACGGTTGCAACGTGGAAAAGATTTAAAGGAGATCATGTATTTGTGATATCGTAAGCAATTTTGAATCCAAAAACATTAAAAATGCATGAAATTTTCCCGGATTTCGATCTGCTCGATCTAATCATAAATTGAACAGATCGATACTGATCAATTGTTATTCGAATGATGAACAGTTACGTATTTATGTAAGCCTTAAAATGAAGCATTAGTATCAAATTCCTAATTCCTCTGTTATTAAAAGTTGCCTCCATTATCATATTAAGAGGCCATTAAAAATAATCAGATTCCACTTAAATGGTAATCAAACATGACAGACGTAATTAAGTGTGATTAATTTTCTTCCACGTCGTAACGTTTATCGTAGCGTTTAAATAGCGGTTTAAAAAAATTACCATCATTTTGTTCGTTACGAGGTGAATATTCACACCACGTATTCTGATAATTATCCGATCTAATCGGAACGGGCGGGGACTGTAGACGACCACATTTTACATAAGCGGCGATCAAACGTTATCGCTCGGATCATAAATTCCGATTTCACACTTATGCACATCGATTTGTTGTAACGAAGATAAATGCCAGTTACGCCTGATTAAGTGTTAAATGACAAAAACATGCGGCGTGATATTGACGCGGCGGGGATTAATCAATGGTGATTCAATTAATAGAAGTTGAGCGTGGCCGGCATCTGGTTAGAATTGAAATGTCACTTGAACGCGTGTTTCTATCCGACAGAGTTCTACTACTGGGACAGTTACTGGGTGATCGAAGGGCTGCTATTATCGGACATGCATCAGACTGCCAAAGGGATGATAGACAATTTCTTGTACATGGTGGAGAAATATGGATTCATACCCAACGGTGGTAGAATTTATTACCTCATGAGGAGCCAGCCGCCGATGTTACATCTCATGGTGCGTCGTACTTTTCTGATATTAATTTTTCGGGATCCGTTTTCCAGTTTATGTACGTCGCCGGATATAGTACTTCCCGGGGGGAAATTGCTCGCTATACGCGGTCTGCTCGGTCTTTCGGAAAAGTTTTATAGACTGTTACTTTTATTTCGACTATCTTTATCGCGACGATTTTTACTTGGTCTATTTTTACTTTGAATATTTTTATTCTGAATATCTTTTTTCTAATTTTTGACTATTTTCATTTCTACTGTTTTTATCTTTACTCGTTTCACTTTTATTATTTTCTGTTTCACTATTTTTATTTTTACTATTTTCACTGTTATTAGTTTTATTCTATATATTATTATATATTATTATATTCCATTCTTATCCTCAGTATTTTTATTTTTGCTGTTTTCTTATTCTTGGTACTTTTGTTTTGATTGTTATTATTCTTAGAATTTTAATTCTTTCTGCTCTTATTTTACCGTTTTTATATTATATATATCTTTTGATGCAAACGTTTTCATAAAGCTTGAATTCTGCATTCCAAGAATGTTCTATCTAGGTGCTATTTATTAATGTATTAATAGTAGACGATCTCTGTACAAGCTTATTGAATTTCAAAATATTTTTCTCCAATTTATCAATTTCTTTTTTCACAAGAAAATCTATAATTTCAATATAGTACGGTAT